CTCGGAGCAGCGCGTCCGGCGGCCGGAGTGGGCGCTGTGCTGCGCAGGCGCGAAGGTGAACGTGCAGCCCTGACCACCGGGTATCGCTGAGTCGGGCCCAAGCAGTACCTCCTGTCTACCTCTAGTTCTGGCCCAGCTCTCCTTCGCCTGGCCTTCCGAGGCTCATGGGCGCCTCCACTCAGCTCACTGTCATGGATAAACCTCGAAATGTCCACTTGAGCAAGTTTTCAGGGCGCCCTTGCTAGAAAGTCCCTCCCACCTCCTGTCTGAACCGAGGCTATACGGGCCACAGTAACTGACCATCAGCCAGCCAGGTCATCTCTCCTGCCCCGCCACCTGGAGAGGTCAGGACCTCGCGAGTGCAGGCAACTGGCTACCATTCAGCTCTGGTCAGCCCATCTGCCCCTGAGAGGTCATGACTTTGGGGGCCACAGGCAACTGACCACCAATCAGCTCAGCTCATCTGGCCTACGCCGGTGACGTCAGGACCTCAGTGGGGACCAGACAAGGGACTGCAGTCGCTGCCCCGCGAACAGGGTGCTAGGGCAGGTGGAACACGGCCCGCTTAATCCCTGAGTGGGGAGGTCTGAGTGCCTCCATCACAACGTCAACATCCTGTTGCATTTTTCTTACTACGTCACCCTCTGGGATCACCTTGTGTATTTAACTTCCGCTCCAGGTATGCCCTCGAAGGTAAGGATCCCGTCCATTTTGATCAATAATGATTCGTAGAGCCTCCTAGGCAGTACTCAGTGATTATTGATTAAAACATGAAATAATATTTGTGGATCAAATTAATTAATTAAATCATTTAGTTTTCCAGCTAACGTCCACTAGAGGGTAAGTCCCTAAGGGCGAGGCTCTTACCAGACTTGTTAGAGGATGCCTCTGCACCTGCACAGTACTTCCTTGTTGTACAAATGGATGACTGATTAAAGGAGTGAGGAGGCAGAGGGGATGGGCATGCAGTTTCAGTGTGCAGTGGACACTGCCTGGCTTAGTTTTCAGGTCCCACCTGGTTGCCCTTAGACTCTCCACACCCTTCCACCCCCTAACAGAAAAATCTGCTGCTATAAAACAGTGGTAATGAAGGAAAATCTTTACATCTGTTTACTTAGAAGCTCGTGAGAAGTACTGCCTCATTCTCAGCTTGTTTGCTGATTTAAAACAAATAAAAGCCAGATTAATTTAGGAAGGAGGATACTTTTAAAAAAGTATCCAATCCTTTAATATACCTGTTTTTTAAAAAACAAGAAGATATTGGGGCCAACAGTTAGCATAATGGCTAAGTCGTTAGACTCCCACGTAGTCGACCGTGGTTCGTGTCCCTGACCCGGTGGCTTAAAACTCACGTCGACGCGTGTGCGTGTGTGCCCAAGATCCCAAGAGGCGAATGGAGGAGAAGGGATTGTGACGTGGCCATCCCCCCTGGGGGGTGATTTCTCGCTTTCTGTCTCTCTGCCTCCCTCTCTGTCTGGTGAGCACACGTGCCCTATAGCAAAAACCTCTCAAAAAACAAATTCCATTAGACAGGAAGGAAATAACATGGCTAGGTAGTTGTGAAGTGAAGTTTTTGATACCTAGCTTTTTTTTTTTAAGCCTACAATACGTGGAGTGATTTCTTGGGGAGATAATGCTTGAGGACTGCTGAGAACGCCTCAGCTTTGAGTAAGACGTGAAGTCAGCGCTGGCTGTTAAAAACACTAGTTCAGGAGCCAGCAGAGCACCCTGTCCTTGCATCCCTGGAGCCCTGTAAGACTGCTCACCATCTAGCATTCCTATCCTGTTTGTTTTTGAGAATGTTATTCTGTCCCCTATTTGAGGTTTCTGTTTCTTAAAAGTTGTGAAAATTAAATGCCACGTATTCTCCGTCCTCCATACCTAAATATGACCAGGCTGTTGCTTTTACTTACTGCACCTGGGGTTATGGGGCTGGTGGCATGCGACAGTGCACATTGCAGCCCAAGTGCCTTTTCCACATGTCTCATCTTGGTGGGAACAATGCCACCTCTGACTTGGATTTGGAGAGGTAGACCTTTACATGCATAGCCCCATGAGCTCCAAAAAGTTCGTGAAAAATACGTCTTGTGAAAAAAACTATGCATGGATTTCAACAGTTTTTGCACCAAAATAAACTCTTCCTTTGATTTTACTTTCCACAACCTTTTTGAAGTCCCCTTGTTTTATTGCCTGGATATTCACTCGAAAGCCACATAGTGGCTGCTGAATTAGTGGTTTCTAGCTACTTTGGCGGTGTGTTTTTGACAGTACCTCTCCAGAGATGAGACAGCATTAGGCGGTCCTTAGTTGGCTCTGCAGTTGACTAGGTGACGCACTCTTATGGCTCTTGTTCTGGGGATGACACACCCCTACATTCTTCCGGGGACTGGGATTCTCCCAGCCCTGTGCACAGGAGGAAGAATGCAACCACGCCTCTCACCTGCAAGGACCTTCCCAACACCTGGGAAGCCAGCGCATGGGGCAGGCATGGCCAGGATATTGAGAGAGCAGCTGTGTGTTCAGACCCCAGACTGAGTGAGCCTCTCAGGCCTCATGGAAGCCCTCGAGCAGGGAGTCCTGGATTGCAGAGGGGGCTGGCTGAGGGGCAGGGTCCTGTTTTAGCAGGCGCAGACACAGAGCAGGCGGTGGAGTCACATGCTCTGACTCAGCTCGCTTCCTTCCACGCTTCATGTACTCACACCCCAACTCCACGGCCCACACTGTCCCTCGCCCCGTGCATTCCTACTAGTCCCGCGTCAGTGTGGGTGATAAGAAATGCCTTTGGTCTGTGCCCAGTCCCTCTCGCCGAGCTCCCGCAGACTTGGGAGTCAGCATACACACCCATGTTTACGCAAGCAGAGGACTCAGGGTGGGGCCCCTCGCTGGTAAACATGGGCAGTCACCAGAAAGCCCAGGAGATGGAGGGTTAGTGGGTCGGAACGTCTGGCCCCAGTCACCAAACTCCAGGGAAGAGGCAGAGGGAGCTGGAGACCGAGCTCCACAGATGCGCGCGGACCCTGAGATCTGACCAGCTCTTAGGCTGGGGAGCACACCCACATGGCACACCCCGACCCTGTGGGCCATCTCGTCCCCACTCCATGCATCTCCTCATCCGGATGTGCAAGAGTATCCTTTATAAGAAACAAGTAAACGTGTCTCTGTGGGTTCGGGGAGCCATTCTCATGAGTCGTCAAAGCCCAGGTGGGTCTGGTGGGCACCCGCCTGCAGTTGGCCAGGTGCTCGGGCCGCAGCTCAGGGTGGGGACTGGCCCCTGCTGTGGGCTGTCCTGAGCACTGAGCCCTTAAGTGTGGGGCTGAGCTCTCTCCAGGACACGGTGTCAAGAGGAAATGCTAGTGGAGAGTGCGGTTTGTGAGGGAGCCCCATGTGTAGTGTTTGATGCGTCCCCATGTCCTGAGAGGAGGGCAGGAGAAGGCTGCGTGCTCTCGTCTGCACAGATGTACCTTAAATGACACTCTGTACCGTGACTGCCCATGGGGAGCCAGCACTGTTCCCTGGTGAATTCATAACGGTTGAAGAAAACAGTTACGCCGTGAGCGCCCTGGTGTCTTGGAATATTCTAGAAGTAGGTGTCTCTCACTTTAGGGCCATCTCCAGACTTCCTGGCTGCTTTTTTTTTTTACTCTTATTTTACTTTTATTTATTTATTTAAGGTTTTTGGCATAGTGCGTGCATCTGAGAGAAACAGAGAGAAGGGGAAAGTGAGAAATCACCCTGGTGGGGTGGCCACACCACAGTCCCTTCCCTTCCACTCTCCTGGGATTTGGGGCATGTACACACGCTTCTGGTGTGATTTTCAGATAGCCAGTTCCAGGACTTGCACCGCAGTGGACCATGTGGGAGTCCAGCACCTTAATCACCATGCCAACTGCTAGGCCCAGTGCCTTAACTGATCTGCTCTCTGCAAACTCCAAGCCACCTTTTCTCTGAGCCTCTCAGCTCTGGCCTCTCAGACTTTGCTGTGAACTCCTCTTCCCTCCCCTCTTTACGTGGCGCCTGCCCTCACTGGCTCTCTCTGGCTTTCTGCTGGGGCTCAGGGCGGGCCCTCACTCCTTTCCAACCCTTTGGCCTTTGTTCCCTTCACTTAGTGCATGAATAGCCTAGGCCACCCCTTGTGCCAGAACTCACTGCAGCAGCAGTTCTGGGGCTGTTCCCCGGGGCTTGGGCGCCATCAGGAGACAGGGTGGTTGCACTGGTAGGGAGGGTGCCCTGCTGCCCCCCCCACCCCCGTTTCCTGCTGCCCCTCCACAGCTGCACCGCCTCACACCCTTGAACTCTGTTCCTCTGTTCCTGTGCTCTCTGGCCCAAATGCACTCCCCTGCTGGCTCTGAAGAGAAGAGCCTTACTCACATCTCAGGATTCCGGCAGAGGCTCCTCTCCTCACCCAGCAGCCTGGCCCGGGCGCTCCCAGCTCACACAGTGCCCTGTACCTGCTCCATGCCCTGCTGTCAGCAGAGCCCTCACTGCGATGCCACGCAACCCGTGTCCACAGCCATGGGGTAAAGTGTAAAGCAGCCACTTCCGTGTTAGAGGCTGGGGGCTCTGGGTCCTCTGGACCCACTCTTCATCTTGGGACCTCGCTGTGATGTGGCCCTGTGGGAAGCAGGAGTCCGCCTAGCGTGTGGTCACTGCACGGTTACTGCTGACCCAGTCCTAGTTGGAAAAGGCCCCCAGTGTGGCTCCTTGTCTACAAAGCCAGTTTCCTGGCCGCCTCTCGCTGGGTGTCCAAGGCTAATGATGTGCCACAAGTGGTTCGAGAAGTGGAACTGAAAGTTGGGAAAAGATACAGAATTTGTGCACATTGGTGAGAATGGGAGTTAAGAGTGCTTCTTTTTTTAATTTTTTGGAGAGGATTTTGCTATAGGGTGCGTGCACTCGCCAGACAGACAGAGACAGAGAGACAGAAAGTGAGAAATCACCCCCCAGGGGGGATTGCCATGCTGTAATCCCTTCTCCTCCATTCTCCTCTTGGGATCTTGGACACGCACGCACACGCGCCCGGCGTGAGTTTTAAGCCACCAGGTCCGGGACTCGAACCGTGGTCGACTACATGGGAGTCCAGAGACATAGCCATTACGCTAACTGCTGGTCCCAAGAGCGCTTCTAACATGCTGGCCACTTCGCCGGTACGGGACTGTGGAATGAAGGCGGTAACCACTTGGGAAGAGAAGACTCACCAGGTTTGATTCCAAGGAGAAAGGCAATGATTTGGGCTCAGGATGTGGGGAGGTCCGGGGGAGACCAGTTGGGTCTGAGTATTTCTGTAAAGATGCCCAGCACTGCGGCAGGGCTGTGACGGTGCCACATATTGCATAGTGACAAGGCCATCATTTGGTTCATTCTATGTAGTAAGAATTCCATACGTTACAGTTTGAAATCTCAGTTATGTGTGTACATGTATCAAATGCACAAACATGTATAGTGTATGTACACACGTGTGTCTAATGCAGGGACATGTATAGTGTGTGTACACATGTGTGTCTAATGCAGGGACACGTATAGTGTGTGTACACACGTGTGTCTAATGCAGGAACATGTATAGTGTGTGTACACACAGGTGTCTAATGCAGGAACATGCATAGTGTATGTACACAGATGTGTCTAACTCAGGAACATGTATAGTGTATGCACACACATGTCTAATGCATACATGAATACAGTGTATGTACACGTGTGTCTAAAACATGAACACGTATAGTGTATGTACACATGTATCTAATGTAAAACGTGTATAGTGCAGGTACACACATATCTAACACACATGCATAGTGCACATACACACGTATCTAACGTGTACACGTGTATAGTGTTTGTACATACATGTATCTGTGTGCCTGAAGCTGCCCTCCTTTTGTTTTCATTTTTCAGGATCAAGTCTCAGTTACACTTTATTTTTCATTCTTTACTGTGAAGTTTCGGTGTTGATTTTAGGTGGATTCATTTTCATGTACTCCTTGGGTACCGATTTCACACCAAAAATGAGGAGTTTCTGCATAAGAAGCCGGGTTAGGGAAAAATGCAATACGGAGGGTGAGAAATACCAAGCCAGAGGTAGAGGAGGGGAGGGTGACACTCGAGCTTTCTTTTTTGTTTTGTTTAGTTTTTTTGAGGTTTTTGCTATAGGGCACTTATGCTTGCCTGACTGAGACAGAGAGACTGAGAGGGAAAGTGAGAAATCGCCCCCTTGGGGGTGGCCACGCTGCTAATCCCTCCTCCTCTATTCTTCTCTTGGGATTTTGTGCACGCCTGCATGTACCAGGTTGGGTCTGGGACTCAAAAACTGGCAGTCAGCCATGTGGGTGTGTAGAGCCTTGACCACCACGCCATCTGCTACCCCCAAACTCGAGCTGTTTCTAGAAAGCCCTACTGGTAAGGCTATTGGGCATGTCCTCACCTTTTCACAATGTCCCTGGGTGGCCTTTATAGAGTGGAAAGCCAGAGGGAGGTGACCAGCGGGACTCAAGCCTGAGCTCCAACATCCTCGACATCCCGGGGACTCCACCTGGCCATGAGGAGAGGCCAGA